TGCCCTGCAATCCTCATCCTGGCTCTGTTTTCCGGGAAGTCCAAATGGGGCTGCAAGTGAATAAACACCACTGTTCCCACCCAAGGACACCCAGACGACCACGTGGCACAGGATTCAAACCCAGGACATCGGACCCTCCATCGGGGACCTCCTCCACCTGTGACCTGTCTCAGGGTACAATCCCATTTCAGAAAAGAGGAAACTGAGGTTCCAAAACATTGACGACTCTCCAAGGAGTCCAGGCTGCCTGCAGGACTCTTCACCCCGCCCATCGGCCCCTAGCTCCCTGAGCGGGAGAGGGAGGGGCTTGCTCGGCCGGAATCCCCACTGCGCCCCGCCTGTCCCCCTCCACCAGCTGCTGCTGCTCCCCTCCTGGTGTTGTTTGGGTTTTAATTTTTGTGTTGCATTTAGGAAATTACCCATAATGACAGCTTCTGAAAGGAACGGCCTGGAAGCGCAGACCTAGCTCCCAGCTGCGACCCGCCTCCACGCCGGCTGAGGAGGAGCCGCAGGCGCCGCCAGCCCTGTCCAGGTCCTTCCCAACGTCCCTGACTTGAATGAGGACGTGAAGGGGGCTGCTGCCACCTCCTGTGGAGAAGAAAACCTACCCTCCCCGCCTCCAAATGACTCCTGCACCCAGTTGTCTCAAGGAATATTCAAGGGGCCCCTACCTCTATGTTTTGAGGGGGTGGGAGTCTTCTGACTGCATTATTTTATCAAAACAGCTACAAATCCAACTATGACTAGTGCGGGACCGGTAAGCAGAGGGGAGAGCGAGGGCAGGAGGAGGGGGTAAGCAGGAGGAGGAAGGGCGGAAGGGCAGGAGGAGGGGAAGGAGAAGTGGAAGTACTGTCGGGGTCAGACTAGGAGCTCGAGAAGGAGGCCCCCAGGCCGAGGGACGGGCACGTGCAAAAGCCCAGGGGTGGGTTTGGGTAATAAGGCTGGTGGGGAGTGAATGAGGGGAGAGATCTGTCCCTTCCCCGGCAGACCCCTTTCCCCTCCGGCGGACATTGCTACCCCCTCGGGCTCTTCCAGCCTCTGCGCCCACCCTGTGGGGGCTAGGTGTTTGGGGGATGTCTGTGGTGGGTGACTAGCCAATGCCTACCCCAAGAGGCAGACTCCTGCCCAGGGCTGCAGTTTTGAAGCGCCACGGCGGG